TAGAAATGAAAATACATCAAAACTTCTTACCTCGATTCCCTGTTTTATTCATGGTACCTGGTCTTTCCATGCGATACTAATGAACAACGGCAGAACTAAAATTCGCTAGAATTGCGCTGACTTGGCCAGAAATGCTAGGAACATACCATGGATAAAACAAGAAGGCGAGGTAAGAAATTTTGATGTATTTTTATTTTTTATTTTAGTGCCCTGGCTAACTATCGCTAAAATCCCCGTACCAACCTTTATAATATTTCTGATTTCTGTTACGCAACAACGATTCTCTGTCCGGAGCTTGGGGTACCTGTGGCGTAACTAGTCGTAAATTGCGTGTGGTGCGGGGTTATATCAAGCTGGATTTTAATTTTCGATTTTATCTGCAGCTAATCTACGTGGCTTCATTAACCATTCTAAAATGTTTTATCTGCCTTCAAGCCAATGACTGAATGATTTTGTAATCGTCTGCCTTGTGATAAAGAATCAACTGTCTTTTCAGGGTCCCATGTCATGATGGGAAATAGCACTGCCGCTGATTTGTTAGAAATCTCACAGCAAACACAAGACAATATAAATTTTTGCACTTCGATAGAAGCAAAAATAAATGAAACTTCTGTTGTATTGTACCACTAAAAGAAAAAAAGAATTGATCCTTGTGTTGATTATAAAACTGTTTTACTGAAAATGCAAGTGTTCGTGGTCTTTACAGGCTCAGAGATTTATTCATGACTGAACTTCCAGGTGATTCCTATTGTTTCATTTCCCCAAGCCTTGGGGTGACGTGTGAATTATTGAAGTGGTGTGGCTTACGAACTCGTTCCCAGGGTCCTTAAACTAGACTTCCTCCGTCGAGCAAGAACGATGTTGATTGAGTATTCCTAAGCTCATTAATAATTCATGAAAAGAAAACAAAAACAGGAAATCACTACCGTTACGGAGGTTGGAAAAAATTTATTACCACAAAATTTTGCGAACTTTTATTGCCTTGAATTTCTTCAAGAATTATTGTTCATTGACAAGCTGTATCAAACACAACATTTAGTATTTTACCTGATATCCAGACGCCTTTAAGTCGCTCCTTTCTTGAAGGATGTTCGGCTCAGCACAGTCCTTAGCTGAGAATTTAGGACATGATGGGCGCGATCCATTCAACCAAAATTCCAACCGGTCCCACCGGGAAAAGAGGACCACCTCAAAAGGTGGACCCGTTTTTCCGAAACTTTTCCGGTTGGACCGAACCGATCCATTGAGTTTTGGACCGAAACTTCCGGAAAGTTTGGTTGAATGGATCGCGCCCGATTACAAAGAATGTATGTGCTTGATATTTTATGAACTTCTCCTCACTACTTCTATAGTAAATGAATAGGTGCGACAAAGGAGAATTTTAATTTTGATCCTAGGGTTTAAACGGTTAAGGATGATGACGTTGAACGCTCTTCATGATCTTTCCTGCATTAGTTAAAACTAATACTTACATAACAAATCGTGCATCATTCTTTCCTAATTGCCAACGAGCCATCCGAGCGAAGACGCTCGGATGGCGAGGCGGCAGCACAATAGAGCCGCGCAAGACTCTCCTGTAGGCAGAAAAATTCTCGATCGAGCTTCAAAAAGTGTAACCCCATGTAATGTAGATTCCCCTGAGACCAAGTGGTGTGACAGTTTCAGCCAATCAAAAGGCGGTAAACTATACTTGGCGCACATGTGTTCTTTCCTCCGCGCCACGCGAAGACTGAACTTGAATGTGGTACGTTTTTATTGTTTATTCACCAATATCTGGCCCCGGCAGTCAAGGAAAATGAAAACTTGATGCATTGTATTAATTTGGGGGGCCATTAATGTAAGGTTTTAACGAAGAGAAGCTTGTATAACAACAGTTTAATTTTCCATGTGAAACAAGCAAAAGGATCAGATTACACGAGGAGATAAGGAATGCTTGATACGAAGAATATATAGTTGCTTCTGTTGGAGAATCTGATGTTGGGGAAAACAATCTAACCAGCAAATGGAAAAATAAGAATAAAAAATAATTACAAGCCTAAAGCGAACGACGAAGGAAAAGAAAACAACGCTATTTTTTTCGAAACCTGGCCGAAGTGAAAACAAAATACCGACGTGCCGTAGATCGCATGTCCTTGAAAACATTTCAAGCAGCGCAGCGAATCATTCTAAAATTCAATCGGGAACTCGACAAAAAGCCTTGGGAAATTTTAGAGGAGGTTTAAATGATTAAACTGCACAAATCAGGGACCGCGGAGCAAGGTGAAAAGTGGGAGGGCTGACAATTGAAAATAATTTTTCAATAAACGACCAACATATACGGTCAGTTCAGATTCAATGCAAGAAAAGACGCGATTACAATTTTAGTATAGAAAATACTACGCTTAAGTGATCTGAAAAATTTCTAACTATGGCCGTTCACTAGGCTTTGGTAGATTGTGCTAGCGTAATTTTAAGCATAATTCAGCAAAACGAGCATTATTTTAAGGTTTTATTTCAGTTTAGCACTGCTAGCATAATCCGAGCTTTTATGCGTTGAAAACAAAAAACCCATCATAGCTCTAGAACAATTCAGTTTGTATTTTATTTCTGCAGTGTATTTGGAAAATATTGAGGTCTGTGCTAAGGCCCATGGTCAAATATGGTCCGGCAGGCGGAAGAGGTTACCCTGTGCATATCTGAGAGACTGAGACTCTCCTCAGGCCACCACGTTTATGGCTCGGCGGCTCGGCCCCTCAGGCCTCAGATCAAAGATGGCGTCGTCTTCGAGTACATCCACTTCCACCACTTCCAGTGCCGTACCGAGAGCTTTAATCTCTAGAGAACGTGTTCGTAAAAGTAATACCGGAAAGTACAAGGAAAGAGGTAACTCAGATCCAAAGAACATGAGTCCTCGTGATCGAATCGAAGAATTCCCAGGGGAAAATTTGTGTCTTCGAGGTGGAAAACACAGAGATTAACAATATGCATAGTTGTCTTTATAGTGAACTGAGCGCTTTGGCTGGATGGCGTCTAAAACAAGTATGCAGGCTATAACTTTCTGACCCGGATTCAGAACCGAGAAACGGTTGATTTTGGTATCATTTGTTAATCATTTTGTCTTTTCGAGGTGCGCACATGCGTATTTGCGATGCTAAAGATTGTGAGACTGGAAGGTGGACTATATAAATGTTCATTATAGTCAAAATTGATAGAGTTAAGCTACTGATGATCTTTATTTTCCTTAAACTCATCAGTGTGAAAACTAAGTAGCATAATTTCGGTGACAGAGAGCATAATTTTCAGAAAGTAGCATAATTTTGGCATAATTTCTAAAAAATATGAGCACTGCTAAAAGCATAATATGCTTTTTTTTCGAGCACAATCTACCAAAGCCTACCGTTCACTGTTCAAGTAATGTAATTCTTCTTGCCATCGAATATTTCATTGATTCGAAAGGAGAAAGACAAAATAGAAAACTTTTATCAACTCAAAACAACTACTCAGCTTCTTTTGGCTTGAAAAAGCTAGTAATTTTCTTCTTTTCGTCTGATAAAACTGATAAAAAAAAACTCTGCCGGAGCCGGAAGTACAAAACACGCTGCCGAACGAAGCGAAGGGGTGGCCAAGGCATGGCGTTTGATCAAGGGGCAAGTCGGCCCCAGGGAACAATTACCGCGAAAAGCACAGGAGCCCCACAAAATGCCTGGCGTTTGAAATTAAAGAAAATACAGAGAATATAGCGGAATACAGACGGAAAAAAAAACTTGTTTCAAGTCTTTTTTTTATTTTCATTATTTTTCTTTTTAGCGCAAAAAGTGGGGGCGGGGGCGCAAAAAAGTGGTAGGGCCGCGGCCCTACCAGCCCCTCCCCCTCCGCGGTCCCTGCAAATATTTATCTACAAAGTGAAACCGAACCGACACTAATTTTGTAGTGGTAAGAGAAACGATCATTTTTTATATTTCCCCCTAAATAATACCGATCGCTTCCTCTGCAAGCTGTTTTATTCTTTCAAAATAGAATGCCTCATGACACTTTGAACTTTTATACAGCAGGTTCGTAAAGCCACAGCAGTCTGAGGACTGACTCTTCTCCGAACCTAGTTTATACCGCCTTGCATAGCACATCAGTTTTAAGGAAATAATCCTTTCAACAAGAAGGGACCAAGAAACTGTCAAATTTTGGAAAAAAGGAATTCCTATGCAAAATACGCATGATTTGCTCGTTGGCACTCTATCGATAGGTATACCTAGTTTAAAATTAATATTTTCGTGACGTTTATTAATCGATTCGCTAGACTGTTAAATGTCATTCAAAAATGATAAATATAGAAAACTAAGAACTATTAACTGATAGGCTACAGATGTACGAGGTTATCTGCATACTATTGTTCTTAGATTAAAGTTTCAACTTTTGCCAATTTTTTGTCACCCAAATAAAACTGCAATTTATAATACAAACAAACCTAATAGCAAAAGTTACAGTACGTTTGACGTTTTTATATGTAATAAAGGACGAATAAGGCCATCAAGAACGAATAAATAGGGAGGCAAACAAATATTTAGGTCTATCGTTTAAATATGACATAGCAAAAACCGTTAAAACTTCCTGCTCGATGCGCATACAGACTAGAAAGGTCATGTCATTTTTCAACAGCTGAATCAAGGTAGTTAAATTTAACGTTCTTGAATCTGATTCTGTCTTGCGAATGTGTTGCGCAGAATGTTCTTGATAGCGCATCGGATGTGTCTAAACTTCTAGCAGTAAACCAGAGGAAAAAGGGATGAACTCAAATATAACAGCGTCTGACGGAAAATTCAGAAATGTTCTCTCGTCTTAATCACCTGTCCGACCAGGATCATAATAGCGACTGACTAGTGGCAGGCCAAAAACAGCAGATAGACTTAAAGTTTAGCGTTCCTGAATCTGATTCTGACTTGCGAATGTGTTGCGCAGAATGTTCTTGACAGCACATCGGATGTGTCTAAACTTCCAGCAGTAAACCAGAGGGACAAAGGATGAACTCAAATACAACAGTGTCTGAGCGTATAAATCAAGAAATGATCTCTCATCTTATTCATCTGTCCGACCAGGATCACAGAGGCGATTGGCAAGTGGCAGGCCAAAAACAACAGCTAGACTTTAAGGTTTAGTCTTCCTGAATCTGATTCTGACTTGCGAATGTGTTGCGCAGAATATTCTTGACAGCGCATCGGATGTGTCTAAACTTCCAGCAGTAAACCAGGGGAACGAGTGATGTACTCAGATATAACAGCGTCTGAGCGTAAATCTTGAAATGTTGTCTCTTCTTATTCGTCTTTCGACCGGTCAGGATCACAATAGCGATTGGTAAATGGCAGGCCAAAAACAACAGATAGACGTAAAATGTACCAACCGTTGTTTTTTTCAGTCTTTCGAAAATTGAGCGATTTTCTTCGTTCGATGCCACTGCTTGAGCTGGCTGTGCATGAACTTGAATGGTGTGGCGACGTACGGCTATGGAAATCTTGAAATTGATTCGACCCATAGTAAGGAGACAAACCAATCCCACAGACACCCCTGCAAGGTTAAAAATATTTTTGCTGCTGCTTAAAACACCGGTTAGGGCCAGGGAAGCGCCGAGAAGCCAGCTTAAGATCACTGTAGCCACAACACGCTTGTAAGTCACAATTTCTTGGTAGGTGAGAAGGTCCTGATGTTTGAGGTGAAGGTGGATAGCAAGGAATCTGTCAACGCTGATAGTTGTGACACCGAAGAATGAGACATAACAGAGAGTGTGTCCTACGACTGTAATTATGTCGTTATAAGTTTCCTGGTTGTTAGCGTTTTTCATTTTCATAAGCAGGCGTGCGGTGTACAAGGGCTGGACAAGTAATCCCACACCAATATCAGAAACAGCCACGCTAAGGATCAATACTTTTAGAGTCTTTGGCAGTGATGAAGTCCTTCTCAGCGCAAATATTAAGACGATGTTCAGCATCACTGTTGCGTAAGACAGGAAGGAATTGACGACGCAGTTTAGGACGAGGGAAGGAGTGAAATCTCTCATTGTGTATTATAACTTCCTTTTCTCTCCAAGAGAAAGAAGCGGAGTCAGTCGGGTATGCTCTCTTGAATGAATATACGTTTGTGAGTAATACGCTGGACGAATAGATCGGATGAAGGACTCTCCACGAATGCCTCTACTTTATTCCGCCTTTCCTCTTTAGAGCTGTTCAAAACCGGAGTCCAGGTGGCCTTGAAAGATGCAACGAGGAATTGTTTTAAGATCGAATGAATGTCCAAGAGATGGTCACGTGATGAAACCTTCTTGCTGACGTTTTGAAGCGTGTTGCAAAGTGGGATAAATTTGGACGTAAGAAATATGAGAACCTTTGAACGTCAAGGCAATTACATTAAAAGCCTATTTCCAATTAACTTCCGTCGTGTAAAGGTGGTGTGCATTACCCGATGCTTGTTTGTTTTGTCTTGTTTTGTTTTTTTTTTCTTCACATTTTTAATTGTTTAATCGCATGGTTTTTTTTAGCACAAAGTCAAAGTTAAAGTCCTTCCTAGAAACCTCAGAAAAAACGAATAAACAAGAAGATTAGTTTAACTTCGTATTCTCCATCAATCCTGCTTGAAGTCTCCGTTTATTCTAGAGAAAAAAAATAATGCTCATCTTGAAAGAGAGGAACAATTTGATAGATTACCATATTCGTTTAAAAGAAAATGATTTATCTTTCTCGAGAGCTCCAGCTTTAAGGCTGGTAATGTGCACGGTCTGATCATGGATGTAATTATGTGCCGTAAGGATGTCAAATGCATTAAATAAGAAAAAAACTTAACCGTTGTAAGTCTCGTGATTCAGACTAGGTAGACAGCAAACAGTCAGGTTTTGTAAAGATAACAGAAATTTTACTTTGCTCTTAAAACATGCGTTATTATTGCTTTACATAAAGACAGGTTAATTCTTGTCACCAATCTGCCTTATAAAGCGTTGATACTATTCAAAAGTAGGTTGAGTTTGATCGTCCGGGTGAACGTAGTCCTGAAATGACTCCTGGGTTCAGACCTTTCACAGTTGAGGCTGAATAGTCATAAAGGACGGCTGTCTAGTCCACCAACCCAATATTTGTTATTCAGTCAAAGTACAGTAGCATAATAACTAAGAAACGGTCACGCCTTATATAGATGGGGAATTTATCCGAAGAGGGAAACGCTACTTCTTCTGCGACATTTAATATAACGACAGTGACTATTATTTTTGGCTCTTTTAACATTCTTCTTTCCATCACGGCATTTCTGGGGAACGCTCTGATCCTGATTGCTCTCCGTAACGTAAGTTCTCTTTATCCACCGACGAAACTGTTCTTTCAATGCCTGGCAATGACTGATTTTGGCGTTGGTCTTACTTTGCAGCCATTCTATGCCATCCAAGTCTTATACTCTGCGATAAACGTCAACTGGGATATCTTTCTTTTTTTCCGGTATAAGTTGGGCTTTGTCAATTTGTCTTTGTCGAGTTTCCCTGTTCACAAAGACTGCTCTAAGTGTGGACAGACTTCTCGCCCTTTTATTGAGGCTAAGGTAAAAGCACGTCGTAACACTAAAGCGAGTTCGTGTAGTTATTTTCTGCTTTTGTTTAATTTCTGTTTTGTGCAGATTCATGTTCTTGTTCTGGGATAGAAACATCGCCGTGGCAACACTCACAGTCTTGGGAATGCTTACCATCATCACCTCACTTCTTTCTTACACCATCATATTTATCAAGCTGCGTCTACATCAAGCTACTGTGCACCCTACTGTGCAATGCGATGTTCACCATCATGGGCAACCAATTGGAGGGGGAATTCTGGCGTTGCGCATAGCACAGTTTAAAAGAACCGTTACCAGCATAGCTTTGGTGCAGTCGGCGTTAGTTATATGCTATATCCCATTTGTTATTGTAAATGCGATATTTCTGTTGAATAGCATTCTTGCCAACAGTGAGGTTTTCTACATGGCCGCGAATCTTGTAAATTCAACTCTCGTCTCATCTCTTAACCCGTTCCTGCACTGTTGGAGGATCACAAAAGTGAGGCAAGCCGTGAAGGCCACAATTAAAAGGATGTGCTGTATTTTTTTACGCTAAGTCTTTTAACCCTCGACGGCGATTTATGGAGAAACAGTTTGATTTTTTTGAAAAATCGCTTTTCAATCAAACGAGTATATGTTAAAAGATGCAGTAGACAAAATAAGGACTTACTAGGGACATTAGCAGATAACATGGGGGACAATTATCGGTTGTTTCATCTTTTATGAAATCGATTTCAGGAAATGCCAGCTATATAGTAAATGTAAGCTCACGGTATATTGTTAATGTGAAATAATGAAGAAGAGCTAATTGTGACTAGATATAAATGTTGGGGGATGGTTGTACGAGCAACTCGCTCGCTATCGAAGAGGTACTGAGAATCTAGGATCACATCTTGGAGGACCTCCACAAGCTCGCTTACGTTCTTCTGCAACAGATCCAAACATTATCGCCCCAACTTAACCGTTAGTTGATCACCAAAGGGGGTTGACACAAGCCTGCATGGTTGAACATGCCAAGTATGCTTAATTAACCCACGGAAGTTTGACAACCCTCTAGGCACTACCCGTTGAACTACTGAATCATGAACTACGATATAGGCAAAACCCAGCGTTGGACAATTGCAATCTAACCGATTCCACGATCGTAAAAGCAGTTTCCAATGGCTTTAGCAATCGTTGTTAATATTGTTAAAATGTTCAACATGATGGAAGTGTAAGACAAAAGGGCGTTAAAGCTATACAAGTCACGGCTGGCGGTCAAAGAGATCTCCACATTCCCTCATTGCTCGAAAAGTACTCATTCCTGAAGTTCTGTGTTTGATTACACTTCCAGAGGCGCATGTGCCGCGAGAGTGACCGGACGCTTCAGCTAGCGCTCCGCGTTCTCGCATATGTGTATTTGCAGTTAGGCTAGTTAAGATCGTTTCTTTTTTCGTCGTTGACTAATGGGGGTCATAGTGAAAGCGTTAAGAAGAAAAAACGATAATTTAAAGAGACAACTGAATGACCTGAAGAAGGAATTTCAGTCTATCAAGTTTATCAGTAGTCTCTAGTCATTGTTGTCATGACAATTTTAGTTTCTTTAGTTCTCTTGTTACTTTTAGCTGTATTTAGTTGTATTTATTTCCTGTAAACATGACCGGCGTAAATTAGCTTAGCTCCCCGCTGGCATGTTATTGAACTTTTACTTCAAAACACAATGAAATAAAATGAAGCGAGGAAAGAGGCTTTGGAAGTGACCTTTTTTTCTTTTTGACTATCTAGCCAACAAAAACTCTTTAAGGCCAGTACCACCTGACGTGCCTAATGGCATGCTTAAACTCAGTAGAATATGGGATGACATTTTAACATTATTTATCGCTTTCGTAAATCCTTACAACTTTAGCAATGTTGTAAGAAAAAACTACACATAAAGTCATGCATTTGAATCCAACTCAAGCATCGGTCAGGTACCTGACCCTCACTGGTGTTTATTGAAATCGTATTTTGGTCAATTTTTCACTTAATTTCTTGCTAAGCTGGGCGAATAAACAGATGTCCCCTTTCTTCGACCTTAAATGGGGTAAACTGACTCAGCCAAGCTGATGGTGAGCATTTTAATACGTTTCTCTACTTTGAAATGTATATATAATTACTTTCTTTTTAAAACAGCGACGCCATTTAAGTGTTCAAAATTTCACTTTGAGTTATTGTAATTTTTTTCTCTGAAAACAATTGAGCGAAAAGATATAATAATATCCAAATTTATAGCCCATGGCTTTGGGGAAACTTCTGCCCTTGTAACCGGCAGTAGATAGTCCCACTGCCTGATCGTTTTTACCGATTTTAGTTTATTAAGCCTACAACTAGTGGGCTTACAAACATGCTGATTACAGTGAAGGTCTAGAACTACGTAAAGGAGGATCAGGAGGTGAGCGTTTGGGAGATGGGACCTTAACTACAGTCTGTAATGACGCACTACACGCCAGAAGAGCTAGTATACAAATGGATTTACCATAATTAAAGCGTAAGGTTTTTAAGGAGCTGATCTAAGCCTAAGGACATGCAACAATTAGAAAAATGCAAAATTGCGAGGAAATATATTTCTACAAACATATAATTGGCACGGTGGCTGTGAATTCTATTTTGCAAATAATAAAATGTTAACTCTGTTTTTTAGAGCTTAATGGCGCTGATATATTGAAACATTAATACCGGAAAGCGGAGACATTCACACTTGAGTCTCATTGAGAAGAAGTGCCACTGATGATGACAATGGACAAATAGCTGGTTGTTTTTCTGTATCATGCGGGTTGTATCATTTATTCAATACTACAAATCTGTTAGCAAAAGCTACAGCACATTCTACGTATTTACTTGTCATAAATATAGGTCGGTGCATACTACGTTAACAAGAAGAAATAAATCGGCCAAGAAACAAAAGTCAACTATCGCTTAAACGTGACACAGGAAAACTGTTATAACTTCCTCTACGACGTGTGTACTAACAGGGTCTAGAAAGGTCATGTCATTTTTCAAAGTCTGAATCTCGTCAGTAAAATTTAACTTTCCAAAGGCTGAACCATGTTAATGAAATCTACCCTTCCTGAATCTGATTCTGGCTTGCAAAATGTCGCGCAGAATGTTCTTGAAAGCGCATCGGATGTGTCTAAACTTCCAGCAGTAAACCAGAGGAACAAGGGATGAACTCAAATATAGCAGCGTGTGAGTGTAAATTGACATATGTTCCCCCACCTCATTTCTCCGTGTCTCCAAGATCACAATAGCGATTGGCAAATGGCAGGCCAAAAACAACAGATAGGCGTAAAATGTACCAACTGCTGTTTTTCTCACTCTTTCAAAATTTGATCGGTTTTCTTCGTTCGGTGCCACTGCTTGGGCTGGCTGTGCATGAACTTGAACGGTGTGGCGACGTACGGCTATGTAAATCTTGAAATAGATTAGACCCATAGTAAGAAGACAAACCAATCCCACAGACACTGATGCAAGGTTACAAACATATCCACCCCTCAAAACACCGGTTAGAGCCAGGAAAGCACTGAGAAGCCAGCTTAAGATCACTGCAGCTACAACACGCTTGTACGTCACAAATTCTTGGTAGGTGAGAAGTTCCTGGTGTTTGAGGTGAAGGTGGATAGCAAGGAATCTGTCAACGCTGATAGTTGTGACACCGAAGAATGAAGCATAACCAAGGGTGCGTCCTATGGGGTACAGAGCTCTATCTATATCTTTGTAAGTTTCCTGGTCGTCAGTTTGTTGTATTTTCATAATCATGCGAGCGATGTACAAAGGCTGGACAGCTAATCCAATGCCAAGATCAGAAATAGCCACGCTGAGGATCAATGCTTTTAGAGTCTTTGGCAGTGATGAAGACCTTCGCAGCGCGAATATTAAGACAATGTTCGACATGATTGTTGTGTAAGATGAGAAGAAATTGACTATGACGTTTATGATGAGGTAGGGAGAGAAATCTGCTGCCTCTTTCATCGTGTATTATAACTTCGTTTTTCCAAGAGAACGGGAGCGGAGTCAGAAAGGCATGCTTTCTTGAATGAGTTTACGTTTATGAGGAAGACGTCGGATGAAGGACTCTCTCCCTCCACGAACGCCTCTTCTTAGAGGTGTTCAAAAGCGGAATCCAGATGGCCTTGAAAGATGCAACAAGGAACTGCTCAAGGATCGAACAAACGTCCTAAAGATCACGTGATGTAACCTTACTGTTGACGTTTTGAAACATGCTGCGAACTGGGGTAAATTTGGACGTTTAAAAATTTGAAAACCTCTGAACGTCAGAGCAATTATATTAAAAGTCCATTTCCAATAAACATCCGTCGTTTAAAGGTGGTGTGCATCATCCTGTATTTTTTTCACATTTTGTTTCTTCGAATGGTGTCCGTTAGCACAAAGTAAAAGTTACAGTCCTCCCTAGAAGCCTCAGAAAAACGAATAAACGAAAAGATTACTATTCTTCATAAGTCTTCCTTGAAGTCTACGTTTATTATAGAGAAAGAAAATTAATGCTCATCTTAAAAAAGGGAAACAAAATGATAGATCACCATACTAGTTTAAAAGAAAATGAAGACTATCTCTTTAGGGAGCTCCAGCTTTAAGGCAAAAGGCGCCATGTTTTAATGTGCGCGGTCTAATCATGGATGTAATTATGTGCAGTAAGGATGTACACTGCAATAATAAGGAAAAAACTTAACTGTTGTAAGTCTCGTGATCCAGACCAATGAAGGAAAAGTGAATTACATGATGCGAACGTAGATAGCAAAAATTCAGCTATTGTTCAGACACTTAAAACGTGCTTTATTATGCTTCAAAAAAAAAAAGGTTAAATCCAGAGCAAAAATTAAACGGAGGGAGAGAAGCGACGACCGGAAATGCGTCCGCTGTTCGCAGGCTACAGATGCCTCTAATATGTAATATTAAGTAACACCCTCCGGCTCCACGCCTGTTTTTTGCCAGGTTATCTTATTATGAAACAGCAAATAATTCACAGGGCTTCCAGTGGGTTATTGTATTGTTTGTGTAAATGCGTTATTTGTCGTATTCAACACTTTCCATGTAATAAGCTCTAAAAGAAGCGGTATGTCATATCTCGCTACAATATTAAACTTGTGTGCTGTCAAGGTTGAATTTGTTATTAACTTTTCTCTGACATTAACTTTTATCTTGATATTAACTTTTCTCTGAAATTGCTCGTCCTTCTGCTTGTCAAAGATAGAACACCTCCGTTTTTAACTCATAAAGAGCGATCAGCATCACATTTCTCCTTGCAATATTGGTGACAAGAATTAAGGGTATGATAAAAAAGATATGATGTGCGATACTTCAACAACTGCTCCCCACTACTTCAGGGAAAACGCGGCACGAAATGAGAATTTAAATTTTGATATTAGGGGCTTTTTTACCGTTAATAGGAAACGGAGGAAGTAGCAAATGATTAATTTGCAAATGTAGCTACATGTAGTCGTAAATTGCATGCGGTGCGGTGAATTTGGAGTAAAACTTTCGATTAACATTCAGCGGAAGTTAATCCATGATGTGGCTAAGTTAACTGTTCTCATTAAAATGTTTTATACAACCATTGTCTTCAAGCCGATGACTGAATGATTTTGTAATTGCCCGCCTTATGATAAAAAATTTAAGTGTCTTGTCAGCGCCAAATCATGATGTGAAATAACTGCTACCAAAACAATATTTTGGCGTCTGACCTATAATTGTCACTTTGAATTATCACTTTGAATAATCAGCAATTAAGGCTGAACAGTCATAAAGGACGGTTTTCTAGCCTACTGGCCCAATATTTGTTATTATGAGAGTACAGCATGTATAACTGAAAGGCAGTCGCGCCCTTTAGATGGGAAACTCAACCGAATATAGAAACGTTACCTCTTCCGAGGTATTTAATCTGGCGACAGTGATCATATTTTGTTCTCTTAATATTCTTCTTTCCATCACGGCATCGGTGGGCAACATTCTGATCCTGATTGCTCTTCGCAAGGTAACTCCTCTTCATTCACCAACGAAACTGTTGTTTCAATGCCTGGCGATCACTGATCTTGGCGTTGGTCTCATTTCGCAGCCACTCTATGCCATCTTCATCTTTCTGATAAACTTCAACCTTTGGAATATCATCTCTATTCTCCACGATATAACTTGGGGGTTATCAATTTGTCTTTCTGGAGTTTCGGTACTCACAACGACTGCTCTAAGTGTGGACAGACTTCTCGCCCTTTTGTTGAAGCTAAGGTACAGGCACGTTGTGACACTGAAGCGAGCTCGTGCAGTTGTTTTCTGCTTTTGGTTAAGTCCTGTTTCGGGCATTTTCATGTTCTTGGTCTGGGATACAAACATCGCCTTGACAGCAATTTCAGTTTCGGTAATGCTTTGTATCGTTACCTCACTTCTTTCTTACACCATCATATTTATCAAGCTGCGTCTACATCAAGCTACTGTGCACCCTACTGTGCACCCTACTGGGCAATGCGATGTTCACCATCATGGGCAACCAATTGGAGGGGGAATTCCGGCGTTGCGCATAGCACAGTTTAAAAGAACCGTTACCAGCATAGGTTTGGTGCAGTCGGCGTTAGTTGTATGCTATATCCCATTTGTTATTGTAAATGCGATATTACTGTTGAATAACGTTCTTGCCAACCTTGAGGTTTCTTTCATAGCGTCTCTTGTATATCCAACTCTCGTCTTCTTAAACTCATCTCTTAACCCGCTCCTGTATTGTTGGAGGATCAAAGAAGTGAGGCAAGCCGTGAAGGCCACAATCACACTGGGGATTTTTGGTCGATTTTGATGTAATCACGAAGTCGAGGCTCTTCTGCCGCCACATGCGGATAGCCCTGGGGACTAGGTTGGCAGCCCTGAACCAAGATGGCGGTCAGGTCTGTAAACGGTGCAATAGCCAAGGAAATATCGCAAGAAGTGGATAAATTTTACGAAAAACTCGAGTTGAGATATTATAGCAGTATTCCAAGAGATGATGTTGCACAGAAGCTGGCTTTGCAAGACCTATTTAAGGAGCTTTCAGTACTTAAGGAGCAAACGATGAAGTGTCACTCCGAGACAAGTGTAAGGGAAAAGTTGAAATTCAAGAAGTGTGACTTGCATCGCATGGCATGCAGTGAAGTTAGCTACTGGAGAAAGACATTGATGCGAAGACAATTTCTAACAGCAAAGCATTCTCATCCATGGATCATCGAGTTTACTTCGCGGCTTCAGGAAGATATTTTCAAACACATTGTGGATATTCTGACGAGCACATCACGTTTTGGTGTAGAGACTCACACTGGACGGACAAATAAAGAGCAGGTTGTTGAGATTACAAGCAAGCCGAAGCTGCAGCAGCTGTTGCGTTTTTGCCTGGGCAATGAGAGTACCACTTTGAAGCGGGAATTTCCGGGAAAGGGAAGGACAAACATTGTTATTGACAGAGAGAACCCATTCACTATCACTTACAACTATGGAAATGAAGTAGTCAAAGTGCATTGTCATTATGGTGCATGGAATAGTGATAATGTTCCGCAATTTATCTGACATTATTATAATTGAGGATTTTTGGGAACTGTTTGTCCTGGTTGGGGAGAGGAGGGGGGCAGGGTATTTTACCAATGTTGGTGTATAGGGGTGCCACTGAGGGTATAAAAACCTGACCCTCTTTTAGGATAAGACCTTAAAACCCTACCCTGAGTAGGCCATCATGTTGTTTTTAGGCATCATGTTTTTTTTTAGGAAACTGCTCAGGATAAACCATATTAAACAATGACAATTGTGCAACCTTACCTTTTTAGGACAGATTCAGACCCTGTTTAGGACAGACTTGCCTAAAATTATATACCCTGTTGATGGCAGAAAGGTCATAAAATAAAACCCTGTCAAGTGGCACATCCCCCTGTAGGCCACATAAGGAAGTGCCCCCTCCCAGACTCTCATATGTTGAATTTGAAACTGTGAAACTGTTGTGATGGTTAATAACCAAGTTTTTGTTGTAGTTATTGAAATACCCCAGCAAATGAATACAGCCACCTGTCATCGCTCCGCTGCTGGATACATTGTTTCACTCAATGCATCCAGTGGCGGAGCAATGACAGGCAAATGTGTTTACAGGTTAGTAATACACAGTGTAAAAAAAAAAAACAAACAAACAAACAAATGTTTAATTAGTATTGTTGACATTTTTTATTCTTAAAAACCAACATGCTTCAGAAAAACATCTCCAACTTATCTCAATCTTCTAAACAGGCTTAATTTGCCAGCTAGAATATCACAATGTTAAAAACAATAAACAATTATTGAAATTGCATTGTTTACATTTGCAATCATTAAAGACCAACATACAGAAGGGAATATCCAACTTATCTCAATCTTCTTAACAGGCTAAGTTAATTTGCCAGCTAGAACAACACAATGTTGAAAACAATAAACAATTATTGAAATTACATTGTTTACATTTGCAATCATTAAAGACCAACATGCTTCAGAAAAACATCTCCAACTTATCTCATTCTTCTAAACAGGCTTCATTTGCCAGCTAGAATATCACAATGTTAAAAACAATAAAGAATTATTGAAATTACATTGTTTACATTTGCAATCATTAAAGACCAACATGCTACAGAGAAAGATCTCTATTATAATATCTCATTTTGAGATTTCCTTGGCTATTGCACTGTTTACAGACCTGGGCGCTGTCTTGCTTGTTCAGCACTCCTCAAAATTGCTTTCATTTTCACAGTCAGGCTTCCAGAAGAAGCACAAGTGGCAATTTCTTTTGACAGTTTACTGTCACAATATTTACATTTACCATCGCTATTGAAAGCAATTCCACAAAAACAATATTCATTGGTATAACACCTTGGTGGAATGTATTTGTCTTTGCACTTAGAGTAACCATCACTGAAGGGATTCTGCTGCCTTAACCAAATCAGTGCCATGTGCTCATGTCTGAATACTTTTTCCCACCTATTTTTGGGAAGGGAGAACTCTGCAAAAGATGCTAATTGTTGATGCTTTGCCTCTCTCCCCTGCATAGAATTGATCCCAAGGCCAACTTTCAAATCTTCCATTAACTGCTTTGAGTGAAAAGGTACACAATGTCCCATTGTCCAGACACTAACATTGGTGGAATGAAATAGAGATGCTAAATTGAAATACATCCTGCAATCCCCTTCTAATTTAGGCAAATCTTCTGTCTTAATATCTGAGACTCTGACAGCAAGAGACAAGGCATTTCTTAAATGAAGGCCCATTCTTGCCATCGACAAGGCAAAGAAATTGTGTGGTTGCTCTATATCTGAGCCATCACCAATGAGATCTTCAATGATAAACATGAATCCATGGCAAAATTTTTTGGTCTCCTCACCAGTAAACCTAAATTCAAAATCACCAGATTTTCGCTTTTCCTTAAACCAACGACAAATCTTGTTGTACAGCTTTTTGCACTTCAATTTAAACCTTAAGGTCTTTAAATGTTTGCGCAAAGGGTTGTGTTCTGGAAGCTGGAAAACTGACTTCACATTTGAGCCCACTTTTGCATTTGCTAGAACGGTGGTAAAAACCTTCTTGAACCAATGTCCCCAGCAGTTGTTGCCAACATGGAGACTGTCAGCCTTTGCATTTTGGACAAGAGGACCAAGTATTGGTTCATACTCTTGTCTGGATTTAAGTTTAGCTATGAATTGGCACACCTTGTTGCGGAAAGTTTGCATTTGAGATGCATTGGTTGGTTTTGATTGTTTTTCCTTAAACTGTGAAACTTTTTTAGCAACCTGCATTCTAAAATCATAGGCCCAAGGTTTCCATTTATCTCCTGGACCAGTACCCAGAGTACAACCTCTCTCTGACAAACCTTTCTGATCCACATTGGCAAAGGGGTTTGGGTATGTAGCTGCATTGCTAATTTCACCTGAAAATTTACTCAGCCATTTCATATCCGAGGGCACTAGTTTAAAGGAAAATTTTACCTGTTGGCCTTTTATGGTAAATGTTTGCTTTTCCAAAACACTGATTTGTGATCTTACAAGTTTGCCATACTCTAACATTGATGGGTGGTCTTCAGCACAATTACCACCACAAATTAGGAAATTGTCATAAGGGCTTGACACTCTTTCTGTAACATTTATAAATGAAACCAGCCAAGAACATGCTTCATTCGATTTACCAAAAGGAGCACCGTCTGCTCCAATTGCCACTAAAAAATTGCCCCTTTCCTTTCCAAACCAACTCAGAAAATTTGGCCTGTAACTGTCAATATGAAGATACAAATTAGCCATTTGTAACAAACGTTCTTGCAAGTCAATGAAATGACCAGGTACAAGTGGTAACAGATTCTGATTAACATCTTCACTCTCCTTCTCAATTTCACTGTCAGCCCTGGCCTGAGGTATATTGTGAAGGGTCCCAATCTCTTGTTCTGATATGAATTTCATCAAATCTTTGTATGGTACTAAAGAGGGCACCTTACAGCCTCGTTTGAACTCTGTTCGCCTTCGCTTTCTAGTGGAAATATCAAAGTCAAACATTTCTGAGGAACGCAACTCATTGTACTTCCTTTTACTTAGAAGACCCCCCCTGTAAATAACACTCACAGATCTTTCATAATTTTTTGCTGATTTCTCAAAAACAGCAACAGAATCATTTACTACTTTAGGTACAACTAAGGTATTAACCTTTCTAGATCTACTGCATAACTCAACAACATCTTTGTTGTCAGCATAAGATACAAATGTATTCCACAGTCCCTTCAACGTATCTGTTTTGGAAACTGCATCAGGTCTTTGAGGGCAAGAATGGATCTTCTTTGCTGCATCCAATGTTAGCTTCCTTCTCTTCGAGGCAATTTTCTCAGACAGACCAACTGTACAGTCACTGTTTTCCTTGTCCAGTTTTGTAGGGACAACTGAGCCTCTTGGTAGGTGTACTTTTTCATCCTCAAGCAAGCCACGCTGAAAAAGACAGTGCAGCTATGCTTCAGAACAGCAGCTTCATTCAAAAATCTCCAGTTTCTAGCCATAAATGAGCACTTCTAATTTATAATGAATTGTAAAGTTGACAAAAATAAAAGAGAGTAAGAAAAAGTAAAACCTCATAGTTTACCTTGAACACGATTATTGTGTCCTGTAGCACTATGAATGCTACCACTCGATCCCTTAATTTTAAGATAAATTTATGCAGCCAATAACAATGAAGTTTTACTCCTTAATTATACAACTACCTCTAAATCCAATAATGGCAACTGACCAATTTTTTTTTTAAATTGGATAGGTGTCCAGATTTTTTTTAAATTTGGATAGTTTGGGTTTAGAGGTAGCTATATAATTAACAAATAACAGGACTCCATGCTTGTCCAATTAAGAAAACATTGGATTTGAAAATTTCTTGGAACACTAAATTGGAATCGGGCATCGGCCTTGTCCACTTTTGGTGTTCCTCTGAAATTTCTCATCCAATGTTTTCTTAATTAATTGGACAAGCAAGGAGTCCTATTATATATACTAATTGATACCCAAATCACACCAACGTTTATCAAATGATTACTTTCAGTGATCCTTCAGCTTTAATACCACTTCATTACTCAAGTCACTACATTGCAATCAACTTCAAAAAATAGCATCCTTTTCAGTAGCTTACCTTTCTCCTGAGCTCCTTTATTTCGCCTTGCAGCTGAACATTATTTTCCTTTAGAATTTTTATGGTCCCTTTAGCAGTTGATATCTCCTGGTTAATATTTTCAAGGCTTTTGCTCGCTTCCACAGCTTCGACGCGCTTATACTTCGCTTTACGAGCCCACTCTCCTATTGGAAACCTCTCTCGACTTTTCGTGCGCTTCGACATCCTCTTGGTCTAAAATCTTGAAAATAGCTTCAATCCTCGTGAAGTTTTTCCTTCACGTCCTTTTGTCCATAAACAGCAGGGCGTACCCAATCGATGAAATCGATGATCGATGGGAATCGATGGCATTCGATGACAATCGATGCCAATTAATCGATTGATATTGATAATCGATGAACAATCGATCGTCCAGGTGTGTGTGATTATCGATTGTCATCGATTGGCATCGATTGTCATCGATTGCCGATATCAATCGATTAATTGGCATCGATTGTCATCGATTATGAATATCAATCGATTAATTGGCATCGATTTTTTACCAGTTTTCATCTATTGGTTATTATTGTTGATAGGTTTTATTTTCAGTCAAGATTTCCAAAGGCACAGTCTCTTGATGCATGAGAAAAATGCAAGGGGTGACAGGCCGCACATCCATACCGGCGTGAAACCTTGTGTAAACCTTTCATATTTTAGCTCTAACGAGCATGTCCTTTAGGGATTTTCCTTTCTTGTAGGAAATCATAGGTGGTTCTTTGAAAATTTGGCGAAGTAACGGTTGGTTTTGTATAAGATTCCAGTTTTTCATTAAAACTTCTTTTAAAGTAGACACTGAGGGCTGGTACTGTGTCACGAAAGGCAATATTTCTTTTTCCTCTTTGTTGTTGTGTTTCAGGAGAGCAGACTCCCTCTCTGTGAACTTTATATCTGATAGAAGGTTTTCTATCATAGTTTGTGGGTAGCCTCTGTCAATCAAGCGTATTTTGAAATTTGAAATATTTTCCTCAAACGTAGTTTTTGAGGAGTTTGTTCGTAGGATTCTCAAGGCTTCTCCTTTGACAAATCCTTTTTTAACGCTCGGCGGGTGACAAGAGGTGAAATGTGTGTACTGGAAGGTTTCCGTTTTTTAAAAATGTGTCTTTACATCAAGGATAGATTTTTCCTTGAATCTTGTGCCTTTGTATACAATCGTGTCTAAAAACACAGTCTCAGTGTCAGATATTTCGGCCGTGAATTTTATAGTTGGGTGATGTAAGTTCGCTTGTTCGATGAATGCTTCGATGTCTGGTTTACTGATGTCCCATAGGGAAAAGATATCGTCAATGTAGCGTTTCCAAACTGTAGGTTTAAAAACGGTTCTGCTTAGAATTGTCGTTTCAATATGTGCCATGAAAATATTGGCAAAAGAAACTGCTGTCTTTGTACCCATTGCAGTGCCATGGGTTTGTAAGTAGTGTTTTCCATTGAACTGGAAAGAATTTTCTTTGAGGATTAGTCTAAGCATTTCCCTCAGGTAATGTGTAGGAATAGGAGGGTTGTCTTTGTAGAAGTTTTCATATGCTTTGCAGACAATTTCAATGCCCTCGTTTTGTGGTATATTTGTGTAAAGACTTGTGACGTCCATCGAGACAAGAAATGTTCGTTTTTTCACCTTTGTGTTTTCAATAAAATTTATAAAGTCGGTGGTATCTTTAAGGTATGATTTCTGTATTTTTGATATCGGTTGTAGTAATGTATCAACAAAAGAGGAAATTCTTTCTGTTGGACCATCGCAGCCGGAGATAATTGGTCTCCCTGTAATGGTTGGCTTGTGAATTTTCGTTAGAGTGTAGAACTCTGGTATTCTGGGTGGATTAGGTGTTTGAGATAGCCATTTTCTTGTCATGTCATCAATATGATTTTCACGGTGAAGATCTGTAATTAGGCGCAAGACCTTGCTGTGCGTTTCTTTCACCATGGGTAGAGAGAGAGGTCTGTAGTTATGTTTGTCTTCGATTTGTATTTGACCCTCTCTTATTTTGTCGGTTTTGTTCATGACTACTGTAGTGCTCCCCTTGTCCGCTTTTTTAAGGTTGATGTCTGTGTTTTGCTTTAATTCTGTTAAAGCTTCGTGTTCTTTGCGTGACAAGTTATTTTTTGGCTTTGTTATTTTTATCTCTGCGAGTTGTGATTTAACTTCTTCCAGATAACTCTCGAGGGCTACTGATGGTTGAACCGGTGGGTTCCAGTCAGATTTAACGTAGAAAGGGTGAACTTCCCTATTTTTTCCGTGGAACATATATTTAAGGCGCATTCGCCTTGCAAAATTTTCAAAATCTCGTAGCAACTGTCGTCGTATTTTGTTTCTGTTAATAGATTTGTTGACTGGTATAAATTTGAGACCTCGAGAGATTAAACTAATTTGTGCGTCAGTTAATTTTCTGTTTGAGAGGTTCTTAATATATTTGCCCCCTTTAGTAGTTTGATAACTGACTTTTTTCCTGGAAGACTTTTTTCTCCTTTCTTTGCGTGTAGCGGTTTTCCTTTGTATTTTTCTAGAGAATGATTTCCCTGTAATTTTGTTTGACCCACCCACGGTGTCGTTCACACATTTAACAGACATTTGTGAGTACTTTTCACAATTTTTATTCTCAGTGTCACTATTAAGTTTTGACAAAAGGTACTCGTATTGCTCTTTTAGTTTTGAAGCTAAAGCTTTGATTTCATCACGATCCTCTGTAGTAGATACGTTTACATTTTTGCTGTCCTTGCGGCCCTTACGGTTTGCCAAGGACATTTCCTTATGTAGTTTCTGTTTCTGTTTTTCTAGCCGACGGTAGTGAAACTTAGTGAAACAGCAATCGTATCGTTTCAGATTTTCATCATATGCGACAATAAAGGCAACAGTAGGGCTCAAACTTCGACAAAATGAACAGTAAAATGCCGCGAATAATTTCACGGCTTTCCCTGAGCCAAAAACCTTGAGAACTAGTCTCAAAAGTCAACAAATTTGGTATCAATTTGAAGCTCCACTCCTCGGCTTTAACGTTTCGCAAACAAGACGCTTTCTCTTTCATCAGATTAGCAGCCAGGCCTGCAAAAAGAAGTGCCCTGGATCTAGCCGATTTCTACCCACAAGGCCAATCGCGCCTTGTCGTTGCTGAGACCAGAACTGTAGGGGTGGTTCCAAAATCGACCAAAAATCCCCAGTGTGAATCAAACAGTTGTATTGTAATTGTTTACGCTGAGTTCCAAACCTCGGCGACCGATTTATGAAGAAAGAGTCTAATTGTAAAATGGGTTTTCAATCGAACGAGTATATTTTAAAAGGACTTACTAGGGATATTAGCAGATAACGTAGTACACAATAATCGGTTGTTTCATCTTTTATGGAATTGATTTCAGGAAATGCGAGCTTTCTAGTAGATGTAAGCTTACAGTACATTGTCAATATGAGCCTTATAACACATGTAAATAACTCCACGATATAACTTGATTGTGACTGGATTAATGTTGGAGGTTGGTTGCACGCGGAACTCGCTGGCTAAGCGAAGAGGTACCGTGTCTTACCACACTGAGCAAATAAACAGATGTCTCATTGCTTTATCTTGCTATTTATGAGTCGACCTAAATGGGGTAAACCGACTTATTAGCCAAGCCAATGGTGAGCATTTTAATAGGTGTCTTCGGTTTGGGAAGTATAATTACTTTCTTTTAAAAACTGCAACGCCACGCAATAGTTTTAAAAATTTCACTTTGAGTTGGTGCAATTTGTTTTCTCAAAACAATTAAGATCCATTTTTAAAGCCCATGGCTTTAGGGAAACTTCTGATTGCTTCGGTATCGTGAGTCGATTTCTTTATTAATTTTTTGAAATTAAATAAAGAAATAGCTTTCTTATTCTCCCGTGTATTGCGGTGTTCTCTTTTCTTTGAATGCACGAAGTCCTTCCAAACCATCCATTGTCGGTATAACCTGCGGAAACAAATGTTAAAAATTTCAGCCTCAAGGAACTACGAGGTTTTGTTCGTATTGGCGGCCCTCTTTTTTAAATTTTGTTCCCTTTTTTTCGTTATGGGTCAAAATGTCAAGCCTAGACTTGTCGTTAGGTCGAATGATGACCGTCGTCATTCTACTATGATTTTTAGCGAGAATGTCGCAGTGACGGAAATGAGTAAGCAAATAATAAAAGTTTGATCATTTTGCGAACGGGAGAGAGCTTAACCTCTTTAAATAAAACGAATCTTGTTAACTTTCTGGTGAAAAAACAAGTACAAAACAAAACAAAAAACAGTGAAGCTTTCCGGGATGAACATTTTGTTTGAGAATACGCGAACAAACTATAAGTTTAATCTCGTCCCCGTCCTAAAACTCTGCATAGGGATTTCGTAATGGGAATGTTTTATTCATGGTATGGTCTTAGCATCGCATAGAGAGAGAAGAACTAAAACTCGCTAGAATCGCCGTGAAATGGCCAGAAATGCTAGGAACATACATGAATAAAACAAGCAGGCAAGGTAAAAAGTTTTGATGTTTTTTTTATTTTTTATTTTGGTGCCCTAAATAACTATCGCTAAAATCCGCTTACCAACCATTATAATATTTCTGATTTCTGTTACGCAACAACGATTCTCACTCCGGAGCTCGGGGTACCTGTGGGAGTAACTAGTCGTAAATTGCTTGTGGTGCAGGGTTATACAAAGCTGGATTTTAATTTTCGATTTAAGCCACAGCTAATCTACGTGGCTTCATTAACCATTCTAAAATGTTTTGTCTGCCTTCAAGCCAATGACTGAGTGATTTTGTAACCGTCTGCCTTGTGATAAAAAATGAATTGTCTTTTCAAGGCCATATCATAATGTGAAATAGCACTGCTACTGATGTGTTAGAAATCTCACATCAAACACAAGACAATATAAATTTTTGCTCTTCGATAGAAGCAAAAACAACTTAAACTTCTTTTGTATTTTACCACTAAAAGAAAAAGAAATTGATCCTTGTGTTCAATTATAAAACTGTTTTATTGAAAATGCAAGTGTTCGTGGTCTTTACAAGCTCAGAGTTTTGGGGCAATAAAACAAAAGATATATATTTATTCATGACTGAACTTCCAGGTGATTCCTATTGTTTCATTCCCCAAGCTTTGGGGTGAAGTGTGAATTATTGCAGTGGTCTGGCTAACGACCTCGTTCCCAGAGTCCTTAAACTCGACTTCCTCCGTCGAGCGAGAACGAGGTTGATTGAGT